ACTTAAATGTAAATAGATAAATGTGGCTTGTTAGTCCAAAACTTAGGTGGAATGTCCATGCTTATCTTTGTTTCTTTCTACTATTAACCTAAAGCCATGTACCAACCAGCTGGACCTTTGTTGATTGGTTCACGGTCAACTTTGCTACCATAGTCACCCCAAATATTCATTCAAAACTCCAGGCAGTGCAATTAATAACTGGAAATCAGCTCAAGTGATTAAAAAATGAGCTGGACAGAACTTTAACTTACTTGATTTGCTTAATTTATAGAATCATGATGAAGTAAGTATAAATGATATTTACTATCTCTGCCACACATTAAGTACAGATCAGATTGTCCCTGCATCTTCTATTCACAAAAAGGCAATGCTGTGATACATTTTATGGGACAGAGTGTTTTCTGATCACAAAGCTTCCACATGTAGGTAGGGATATAAAGATGTGCACTCGATAAAATTAGAAAACAATGCAGTCTATCATGACCTGCTAAATTATAGAGAGGAGATAATTAGGGCCAAAGTAATGAACATATATAAGTGGCTTATTATATAATATACTAATCAATCCAGTCTAAACTGTCAATGGTATTATGTTATCCTTTCCACCTTGGTGATTAGCATGCTGAGTCACCACTGTGTTTGCAGGAGCAGGTCAGTTGGCATCCTTGTTAGGGGCAGGGGACTTCTACTGAGTGCCTACTAGAGGCAGCTTAGACTCTGGGGCTTCCCATTTCATCCCATCTCATGTCCACTTCCTGGGAGGAAGAGGAGTAAAATCACATCTCCAATTTGAATTTGAGAAAACTGGGGCCTTCAGGATTAATAAACTTGCCCTAAGATATAAGGAGTACATTTTGGAGACATAATATTCAAAGGCATTTTAGTTCCCTCCATAACCACATCACATGAGAGCCCTGTTAGCATTGGAAAAAAATAATCCAGGGCAGGAGGAGCAAAGTAAACATGTCTATTCCTCCAGCTAATATATTCTAAAGCCATTTGACTTAGGGGTGGCTTTCACGCATCTTTTCAGTGTAAAGAATAGAATGGACTAAGAATATTACTTACAACTCAGAAATAGAAAAAGGTTTTGTGGATAATTGGGTTGTGGCTAGCAAATAGGCTTCCCATTCTAACTCAAGCCTCCAGCCAGTATGAGGCCCATTTTTACATGGTTCGTGATAACACTGCCGTAACAGTATCTTAAAGGACCCTGCATAATAATTCAAAAATTCTCCACATGTGGTGTGAAAAGATTAGACAAGTCTTAAGCAGGCAGGGACTTAAATCCTGCTGATAATACACTGGAGAAATTATAATGCCATAAAGGCAGGGAGGTAGCAAGGGTTTAGCAAAAGGAAGATAGAATCAGGGGACACAAACCTTTCTATAAATCAAGCCATTCTATTCTGGGTGATTATTTCATAAACTGGGTCTTGGGCTGTTGATCTCTTTAAATGATTATTACAAAATGCATGCGCTTTTAGAAAGAGTTACTGGCTGATTTGTATTTCAGACATATTTTCCATCAGTATTTATTTATTGAGAATATGGTTTTCATAATAGAGTTGATACTTTCAAATAATATAGAAAACTTGAATTCAATTTGTATAAAAGCTATGCAATTTTAGTGTACAATTACTACATCATATTGGGAAAAACAGTGATAAAAGGAGCCACCAAATGCATACCCAGACGAGAGCCATTTTCAAAAGATAAGATCATTTTGTCAGGGAGAGAAATAATGATGAAAATGTGCCCACATTCCTCTTGCCTCTAAATTCTGTTATTCTAGCTAAATAACAAAATCAGCCTTTGCACTTCTTCTAAAAACACAGAAAGAAGTTGAGAGACTTCTAGAGAGAGGGGGAGGGGAATATAAAGAAAGGAGAAGGGAGAGGGAGAGGGAGATGGCCAAGAAGAAAAAGGAAGAAGAAGAAAAGGAAGGGGCCAATAGGAAATAAACACTGGGTCTCTACAATGTTCCATCTCCATCAGCAATTGGTGCAGGATTGAGCAGGCTTGGAGAAAATGAAGTGTTCTTTATGCTAGAAATATTTTTAAATCACCAACATGGCACTTTGTGCTAACAATAGAAGATAAAATACACACAAAATACCTATTAATCATGACCGTATAATTTATTTATCCTAATGTCTGTAATAAGACAGCAAGAGAGCCGCACAGTACTCTTACTCCACATGAATTGAAGGAGTTGGCTGTTTTCGAAGGTGTAAAGGATATTCTAATGTAGTGTTTTGGCAGGATTGTTCCTATCCACCTGTTTACTCAGCAAGAGAAGAATTTTCCAATGGCAATTCTCACTGAAGTAGAATCAGGTCACCGTGCAAATGAACAATGGCTGCAAAGGAGAGAATTCTTACTCCATCCACAGTGGTACAGAGATGATTTAATAACATAATGCTGGGGTGAAAAGGCCAAAATATAGTGAGCATTCTAAGGCCATTATCACTGTCCTTAATGAAAAAAAAATCAAGGCCTCTTCATGCTTCTAAGGCAGGATTCTCTATTTTCATTTTTCTGGAGGAAAGATAACTTACATAAGACAACACTACCCATGAGCCCTGCATTTTATGCAGCCAGGCATGTAGTTTCTATTTTGTGCCTGATAATCATTTATGCTAATGTTTAAGCAAAGTAAACGCTGACAGAGACCAGCGCCCAGTGGAGTCCTCTGTACAGATCCTTACACAGCATTTTAAATGAGGAGGGATGGATGATATAGCACGACTGAGGCAGCTGTCCTTGTAATAAAGTGATTATTAGAGGAGGTGGGCATGATATGATTTAAGCATCAAAAGGGAATTAGATACTATGCCTCAGCCATCACAGGTAATGGGCCCACAGCTCTTCTATGCCTCAGTTGGTAATATTTCATTGAACATCTTACAAGTTTCCTTACTTTAGTGGTCTGGTTACTGTTACATATTTAGAATATCTACTTCCCCAAGTAGCTGCTGATATCCAGTAGTGCTGTTGCTTCATTACATACATATGTGTGTTTGAATGTGCCTCAGACAGCATGGGACAGTATTTAGGAACATACTAGATGTTCATTAATGTAATTATAATGATTTATGTCATTGTTTTTCTTTTATAAAGCTAAGTGTGATACAAATAATCACTGACTGATTTTTTTCTTAAATTAAGAATACAAAAATGGCAGAAAATATTGTATTTTGAGTAATTTTTTTAAAATAAAGTAAAGCATTAAAATTAGTCACTGCCAAAACAGAAAATACTTTCTTGTCCTTTGTCATGGAAATTTGGCATAAAAAGTGAGTTTAAAACAAACAAAAAACACTGCTGTTAACTGATCTCCTAATCTAGATACTTAGAAACTGGTGTGTATAGCAGAAAAAATAATGTTATTCAGTATTAAAAAGCGAAGCTGACTACCTAGGATTTTTATCAGAAATGTATTAATGGCCAGTCAGCTCTGAAAAGTATGCTAAAACAAATCTAGGCGTAACATCTGGATTAGGAAGTAAAGAATTCAGAGAAACTGGGTCTTTTGAAAATGAACATGCTTTTAAGTTCTTCCACTAGAAAACTATAATAGACACAATTTTTCTTTAAATATTATAATTTTGATGGGTTTTTTAAACAGTCTCTCTGCAGACAACACAGCACATACCATTTTTGAAAATGTGTATTTTGACCTTATTCTTTTTATTTAACTTTATAGATTAAAAATAGCAAATATTTATAAAAGTTAATGATTCCATATAGCATATGATTTATGAAGAGTAAGTTAATAAAGAAATTGATGACACAAATAGTATGTTACCAGAGACATCTTGAAGTAGAAATTGACATTACCTAGGGATTTAAATCCAAACAACCAAGAAAACAAAACATTCTTAAGAACAGAAACTTGGGAGTGGGGTCAACTTTATGGGCACATGACCAGAGAAATTGCAGGAGGACTCGAGGTCAGAGGGGTCATGCCTGGAGTGTGATTTCATGTCTTGCTGCAGCGTCTTAGTCCTGCAAATTACGTAGAGAGTTCAGCCTGCAACTCTGCATTCCCTAAAGATTGTCTGCAACTTGTACATGATTATGGCTTTAAAGATGCTATCTGAGGTTTTATTTCTGTAAGACAAATATTTCTAAGACTTGTGATGCTGGCCCACCCCTCTCCCACCCTCCAATTTGTTCCCACCTTATCTTTGTAGTGGTCACCAAGTGGAAGAAAGAATGGAGATGCTGTCAAATGTAGAGAATGAGACCAGCACCCCGACGACATATCTGAGCATACCTGCTCTCTCTTCTTCAACATTTTAAGTTTAAATAAAAATAAGGCTCTCAAACTGATCATAACTCATCAATCTTTTCAAAATAACATTAGAAATTTAATTTTGTAAGATCAGAAGTATTTTTAGGGATCACCGACTTATAAGTTGGCCAAAGAACACTGAGCTGCTTCACTCTGTGATCACACAGCTCAGTAGAGTGGTAAGCAGACGGTGTGATTGCACAGCAGGGACCATCTGTGTATATTTCTTGAGTCTTGATTCCTACTTGAGATATACCTGAGAGCATTGGGTGCATGTTTAAGTTCTTTACTAAGTCCCTGCATTGAAAATTCCTTTGCCATCGTTATTTTACCTTTGATGCTCCATTCTCATAGACAAACTTGGGAAATCTGAAAAAGTCAATGGAGGAAGCTGAAACCCCATGTTGACTATACAGTACTGGCAGGCAGAGGAGGTCACTCACTCACATAGGAAGTAAATACACAGACTGTATGGAAGGATTAGGCCCTTGAAGTTGTTAATTTGCCTGTAAGGAGAGATGTCCCAATTGGGGAGGCCATTTTGTTAACAGTCATCTTACCTTTGAAAATTCTTGAGTTAAATACATTGCTTCAAACATCTTCCTTCCATTTTCTCAAGAAATTTCCATGAAAGTATTCAAGGATATGGCTGGAGAAAAGAAACACTTTCTACATGCCACCCTTCCCTTTTCATACTCACACTCAGGCTGAGTGGCCACTTTGATGGGCTGCGAACTCTCCCCTGGCCCCCACTCATTGTAGGCCACCACGCGGAAGGTATACATGGCTTCCGGCTTCAGGTTCCCCACCGTGAGCTGAAGGGACCCAGGCTGGGTTGTATTCAATGCTCGTTCCCTGGAAAATCAAAGTTATAGGGGAAGATTATTCCACCTCTACTTTTAGCCCAAACCTTATTTAATGTTCAAGAGTAGCTAGATAGAAAAAAAGGTTGCTTCCTTACTTAATGAGACATAATCCAAGACCTCTGAAGCATACTATGGGAAACAAACTGAGGGTCTACAAGTGAATGTTGCAGGGTGACTGGGGAGTTTGAGTTTGTGCCATTTCCATGAAACTTGAATATTCAAGTATTTTCCCTTTGACACTTTATAAATTTGAATTTAAACCTTATGACACAGAGCTATATGAAAAAAAAAATCTGGAATGCATTTCATAAGCTTCCAGCTAATGACAAAAAATCAAGATTTCAATTATTCCACAAATTGGTCTTTGCCAATAATGTTCAAAAATGCATTTCTGCATTTCCTTTCATTGTACACGAGGCAAAGGCAGATGCTAAGTGTTTATGTGAGTGGAGCATGAGCTCCTGTTGTTATATTACGAGCAATTAGTAAATGGAAGTGGGTCCCCTTCTGTGCAGAAACAACAACACATCTCCTTGCCTTGTTCTTCAAGCACCGCCTACAGGTGTCCAACTCATTTCCCAATTAAAATTTCCTCAATGGTTCCCAACAAATGAATCAATCTGCTGGTCATGCTGGGATTTATATACTTATTAAGAGAAAACAAACTCTATGGACACATGCTGATATGTGATAAACAAGAACTACTAAAACTACTCTTTAAAGACATACATGATTTTAGACCTTTATACCCTCATTGGCTTCATATAATTGATTTGGTGAAGAGGGAAATCCTTCTAACCTAGTCAACTGTTCCTTAGTATTTCTATTTATAGATAATATCTGTTACCTCTCCATGGAATTATATGTAAGTTTTAATTTTGCCATTTGGGTTTATTTGGTTTTGGGAGATATGTAGAGTGAAACTTATTATTTTTTTCTGCCAGGGCAAGTTAGCTTCCAAAAAGAGAAAGACAAACTTTTAAGGGAATGAATGGTGATTCCTGGGCATACATATTAACTCTAAAATCACTTTGACACAGCAGAGACTGGCTGACTCATCCTCAACTCTGTCTTCTTCATGGACTCTACTTCCTAGCCCCCCTGAAGTCAAAATAAGGTCATATGACCAAGTCTATCCAATGGGTTTGAGTGTGTGTGATATGTGCTGACTCTAAGGCTAGCACAGAAAAACTACACATACAGGATGGGGGAAAATTAGGTTTACAGTTGTTCATATGGGGAGTGATACAATAATTAATATATAATAACCTATAATAATAAAAACATAATATGCTAATTAGACTGGACAGCCTAACAACCTTCCAGACGTCATTCCGGATGAAGCCATGGTTGCAGGGGCCTAGGTTGAGGTGGTTAGGGGTGATCAGGCAGTCAGGCAGAGGCGTTAGGGATAATCAGGCAGGCAGGAAAATGGTTAGGGGTGATTAGGCAGGCAGGCAGAGTGATTAGGGGTGGTAAGGCTGGCAGGCAGAGTGGTTAAGGATGATCAGGCAGGCAGGCAGGTGAGCAGTTAGGAGCCAGTGGTCCAGGATTGTGAGAAGGATGTCTGACTGCTGGTTTAGACCAGATCCCACAGGGATCCCTGCAGGATTGGGCCTAAACCAGCAGTTGGACATCCCCCAAGGGGTTTCCAATTGCAAGAGAGTGCAGGCTAGGCTGAGCCCCACCTTCCATCGCCCGGGGCATGTATTATTATTTCATGCACTGGGCCTCTAGTATGAGAATAAACTGTGTGTTTCACATACTCACAACTATAAACATACTTTTGCCCTCTCTGTATGGCTTCCTTCATGTTCTCTACCTACAGCTGTAGGCTTGAGGCAGGTAAGTATATGGCACTGGAAAGCCATATACTAATGATGGAGGAAGCAAAGTTTGCACAAATTCTGGAGAAGAGCTGGGAGAAGAACTGTCTTCACTCACAAACATCTTTTTTCTATTTTATAGAATCAAACAGCTTTGAGCGATTATTTGTTAGAGCAGTTAGCATTATTTTATCCACTAATGCTAGTACATTAAAATACGTACTCTGGGTCATTAGCAGGGGTTATAAGGAGGGAAGAATGATGAGTATAAAGTTTCAATTGTGGGAGATGATAAATTTCTCAAGATATAGGATAGTAATAGTTGCACAAAAATGTGAAAGAACTTAATGCCACAGAACTCTGTACTGAAAATCATTAAAACTGTAGACATTATGTCATATAGATTTTACCACAAAGAAAACACATACACACACATCTTGTATTAATCTGGATGCAGCCCAAGGTTTAGATATTTCTTAAAAATATGTTTTTTATTTATTTTTAAAGAGAAAGGGAGAGGGAGAGAGAGAGAAAAATATCAATCAGTTGCCTCTTGAACACCTCCTACTAGGCATCTAGCCCACAGCCCAGGCAAGTGCCCTGACTGGGAATCAAACCGGCAACATCTCAGGCAACCAACTGAGCCTCATTGGCCAGGACTATATATTTCTTTAGAACTGCTGTGTTAAGTTGCTTTAAGGATGAATTGTGACATAGTGGGGGAGAGCTTGTGACTATGTGAGATTCAATACTACTCTAAAGTAGGTAAGAGTAAAATCATCAAAACATGTTTCATGTGTCACATGTCACCTGCTCTCTTCTACCAGACCAAAATTATTTAGGACAATATGTTTCTTTATAAAAGGAAATCCTCACAATCAGATTATATGCCTTGTGGATGTGAATCTTTGCTTCTTATTTATTTTCTTTTAGTGGAATAAATTTTATATACATTGTCTAATATAGCCCTTTTATATAAACAGGGTGGTTTTATTACTGTTATTTTATAGATGGGAAAGAAGAGTTAGAGAAATATCCTCCCGCGTCCCAAAGTTAATGGATATTAAAGAATGAAATCTAAGCCCAGAATTGGTATCATTCCACAGTAGTGGCAAAAGGAGGAGCCTGTTTGGATCAAGGGCACTTCAGGTAGAAGCATGAGACCCTAAAGGGGAAGAAGGCACACTGGGCATTCGGAATCCTCTGTGGATGAATTAGTCTATGACCTATTGGGGGTCATTTCCCCTTTTCTAGATCTTCAAGCAACATAGTTGCCACGGAAGGTCAGATTTTCATACCAAACTTCTTGGCTATCTATAAGAAAAGACAGCTTTCAGAATTGACATTATTTTCATATCTACTAAATAATTTAGATGAAATAGCTGTGTTCTGAGACATGCTGGCAAAACCCTTTGAACAGGCAATCTTCAAAGGAAAAAAATGAGGCCAAAAAATTTGGGTATGCACAGTAAAAATGTCCACAGTCATACGAAAACATCACTCACATACCAAAGGGGATACTGGACTTCATTACAACAAAGGGAGTGTTAGGTGTCCTCCACCTCCATCAGCCTCCCAAAATATCCCAAATTAACAACAGTCATGAGAAAAATGATGTTCACTCTTATGGACAATGGGTCCTCTCTCAACATTACAGAAAGTGTGAACAAAGGGTCTTTAGAAAATACTTCATTGGGAGTGATCTGTAGGAATACAATGTAAGCCAGTACAATCTGCTTTAGAGAAACTTGGCTTCAGAGACAACTTCACGGGCCCTCCTCTAACCATAGGCTATTCCTGCCTAGATTGTCCACTCATTTCTTCAATATGGGCTCTTAATTTTAAATAACGATTTAACTGTATGTGCCCTTTATCCCCCAGAGCTCTACTGATCACACCAAAATGGGGCGGCAGCAAAATGCTACGCAGACTGCAGAATGGATTCAAGAGTCTTCATTGGGCTAGGGGAGGAGAGGGTGTTTGGGCTTCCTCATGAACTCATCTTAGCCTCAGGTTGCTTGGATGCTAATTGTTGCCATAAAAATATTTTCCTTAGAGAGCTTCTAAAAAATAAATGCAAACCATCTCAAGTAGCAGGAGTGGTGCCCGATACTCCCTATGCAGTGTTCTCTATATGGTAGTTAGAGCTATTATTTTTATTATTACTATAAAACACAACCATAACCTCAGAAGAAAAGAAGCGCTCTTGAGTTCAAGAAGAGAACTTTTCCACAAAGTATTCAGCTATAGGGATATGAGGAAATTAACTAATAAAAGGCATAATCATCATTTTTTAAAAAAAAAGGAAAATAAACAGATTGAACTGAAGTATGGGCCTGCCCCCATTATTTAAAAAATGTTCTGTGAGATAAATTTTGCTTGCAGAGATAAGTTAAAAATTTTTTTATTTTTATTTTTTGATAAGCCAAGACGTTCTGAAGAACAAAGAACAAGGGATGTTAAGACTTTGCCCAATTATGGTATTCGGTGTCCTGCCTGTCACTGTCATTGCCCTGATGGCTTCTGGCTTTGCTGCTTCTCAGGATGTTCTCTCCAATGGCTCTGAAGACGTAATGACCCTTCAAATGCACAGAGCTCAGGGTCATGGTGTCTACTGTCAGACAAAACTTCATCACTCCACTCCTTGCCCCCACTCTGAGTTAGCAGTGTGGGGTTCATGCAAGTTCAAAATAAATTGACTGAAGTAAAGGGAGTAGGTCACCTGAGCTTTCTAGAATCTATTCATATGAAATTCATTCCTTGAGTATCCACAGAGAGTGCAAGTGCACAACTCGGTCCCCTCCCGCTGGCTGAGAAGCTGCAGGCAGCCTGCCCGCTGGCACCTGCACACCGAGACCAAGAGCAGGCCATCTGCAGGCACTGCCCCGTGCTGAGCGCTGGGGTTCCGTGGCTGAGGCTCTATGGGAAAGAACAGCTGTGCTCTAAAAGCACAGACTCTGCACCAGTCACAGGATCGCTGCTGCTTTTCTGAGCTCAGCCTGTGAGTCCTGACTCTCTGAAGTCACAAAAACAAACAGGTGGCGAGGAACGTGAACTTGCATGAGTTGCATGGAGACCCGACTCCGGTTGGGCTCCAGGCTCTTGCACCCGGAGCCGGCCCTGCTCTGGTTTGTACTCACAACGCATTGCATCAGGACAGCTT